GAATGAGCGCTGTTTTGAATATTTTTGTTATGTTTGCTGATTTTCGATTTCTCTCAATTGAAACAATTAAATTTTGGTTTGTCGTTAGCCCTAAGTTTTCCTTTGGCGCATGCTGCTTATGTTGATTTGCTTTTGATTTGTTTGAGTTTTCGTTTGGAAAGTGTTCTGCCTATTAACCTGATTGAGATTGTGTCAAGTGCGTCTGGAAACTGTCGGATCAACATGGGAATGCAGTTTCCGCAGCCGCTCGATCCGCACTCAACTTTCATTTCAAATTTTCCAATCATCAATCATCACCGAGTCGAACTTTTGCCAACAATAGTTGACTTTTAATTTGCATTTCCATTTGAATTGACATCTTAACCACCACTATCGCGCAATCCAACATCCACACCCATTGATCGATCATGTCTGCTTACCATTTTCTTTTATGCACCCGTATCGGCAACGACAACGCATATCCATAGACTATGCCACAAGCACAAATATCGAAAAGACTGGCAGCATTCGGGCCAAGACCAAGGCCGAATTCCTCGAGAATCTCAACGCGAAGCTGGCGAAGCAGGGAATGTCTGGACGAGCATTTGCCGTGCGAAATCTCATTAACAGCAAGGCCCTGGTAAGTAGTGCACCGTGATAGCCACTCACTCGATTAGCCAACACTCTCTATGCTCTGTTGTCCATGGCATCAACGTGGCAATAATAGATGTATCAAAATCCGCAAAATCTATCGCGCCCCAGTGCGCAATACCGTAGACCACCCACCTATCCCAACACCAGCACGACCACCAATGCCACTTGCGAAGATCAGTGCTAAGTGCTAAGGTATTTAGTTCGTTCCTAGTCGTTCTCGTTCGTTCGTTTGACGCCTACTAAGCCAGCTGGCAGCTAATCCACTCAGTGCCTCGTTCTACCAATTAACAGCTCTTCGATCTAACGATAGACCTAAGGTTTCGAAAGTATAGTCACATTCTAATCCCATTTTCTGTCAACTATTTCAGCCGGACCCTCGTATATGTCACGAGTCGCTAATGGATCAAATCAAGCGTGGAGCCACTTTAAAGCGTAACCAGAAGATCAACGATCGCAGCGCTCCCAAAATACATTGAATTAACCTATAGGCTTAAGCGGAATAACATATTTATTACCATAATAATTAATCTATGAATAATCAAGAGGCCCGACGCCTGCTCGATTGCAGGGCTCTGCAGAGTTTGGTTTGAAACTGAAAACTCGAAACACAACATACAACTTAAATACATATGATTACGATACAACATATTCGATATACGATATTTAACAAGCGCATTAAGCTTAACTCGAACTAATCAATACCTTTCTTGATTTCCTATATCCCAAAAATGTGTCCGAAAGGCTTTCTTTGTTAAGTGAATACAAAAAATGGAAGACAGTTAGCACTCGTATGTTTATTTATATCCAAAACTCGAATTTATCTTTAGTGAGCATCTGTTAAAAGATATTTTATGTTTATGTATTTACCATATTTATATTTTCCCTTGCTTATGTACATACATATGAATATGATTTTAACAAACACTCGAAACTAATCTGACGCCTAATAAATGGAATTTATCGTAAAAGTTTTGAGTACTTTTTACTTTTGTATCATTATTATTATTTTACCTTTGCAACTGCAAGTCAATTGGGCAAGGTCTGAGCGAATTTTCAAATATAACCAATATCTACATTGTCTTGATAAATAGAGTTAACAAGTTATAAGAATACCAGATATCCCACGTAACCTTAAAACTTTTCTGCAAGGAATTCACACAATTGGATCTGCTTTCGAAAAGAATAACTAACTACTGCCAAGCGGAAAGGGAAGCTTAGAGATCATTCTTCCCCAGAATCTTTCGCATCAACTTAGAGTGCTATATGAACATGTTCATATCATAACGTTTCCATTGGACTGAATCTTTTATTGTCATTTTAAATGCATCACCGAATAGAGGCCAGTTTCTCAATGTTAAATACAACCAATATCATTTGTATTCATATCAGTTCACAACACATAGAACAAAATGAAAATTTTTAAGCCCAGATCTTGGTTGTTTTACTTATAACGTACAATGAGATCTGATGATAGCATGCCCATAAGCTAACCACATTTCCTATCCCTAAAACTAAACCTTTTAAATACCATAAATCGTACTACTTATAGTTAATAGACTTTTTAAATATTTACAAAATATTTTGTATATAGGCTTTTTAAGGCTTCACCAATGATCGATGAATATTGGCAAACTCGTAACCAAAAACGTGGCAATAACTAAGCTATGACACTCTAATAGAGTTTAGATAAGACTCCAGAGAGAATATACAAATTTGAGTCGAAACAAATACATATATTTTTTTGGGCTATCAATTCTATATACACCACATAGCAGTGCGTAATCACAGGAGTTAATTAACTTAGCCATATGCAACAATTATTTACAAGTCTAAATGTTAATCTTAAAGTGGTTCTGTGTGTAAACTGCAGAGCGAACAATCCAAACCGATGTAACCTAACAAATCAAAGTTGTAATGCGTATTTTTGAATTCATTTGCATTTAGACACGAGAAACAATAATAAAATAAATGTAAACGCATTGAATGTAAATGCAAGTGGTTTTATTCCTTTTTTTCCGCTTTCCTAAAGAACAAGTTTAAAGTGTTTTGGTAGTAAAGCTCGGCCAGTTTTTCTTTGGGTTCCTGTTTGATACCGGCTATGGCCTCCAAAACTTGGCTGAAACGAAAGTATTAATATTAGTCTACATCTGATAAAGAGATATTTATGGGGCTAACCTTATTTGACAGGGTTCACAACGTCCGTCTATCAAAGATTCGGCTGTCCACTTTTCTTTCTTCTTGACGGTGGCAAACTTTGTGGTCACATGCTTATGCCCTGCATGCGATGGACGAATGCCACACCATGGACAGTCGGTTTCTAGCATTATCCTGTCGTTGGGTAGCTGGCGAACCACTTCAGCGTTTTCCTCCGTTTTTAAAGAGCAACCATTCACGCCTATGTAGAGTCCACTAAAGGCCAGGATGCGCTGGGCCTCCTCAAGAGTTCCCGTGAAACTGTGCACCACTCCGCCGCCGCACTCCTTGATCTTGTCCCGATTTCTTTCCATGATGGCCATGAAATCCTCGGCAGCATTTCGCATGTGCAGGAAGAGAGGCAGTTGGAACTCGGCTGCCAGGCCCAGCTGCTTCTCGAAGTACAGGCGCTGTGTCTCCTGGCCGCAGAACTGCAGGCGGTCGTAATCCAGACCACATTCCCCGATGGCCAGCACCTTGTCCCGATTTTCCTTGATCTTGGATCGCAGCTGGTCGTAGTAGCCTTCCGGATCCGGTACAAATTCCTCGCAGCGCGTAGGATGCGTGCCCACTGTGGTGTAGATACGATCTGTGGAAAGACAACTTATGAAATGGTATGCTAGCATTGGAAGTTTCTATGGAATTTCAAGCCTATTGTAAAGAAAACGGAATGGTTATTACAATCAAGGTTTCTCTTTTACTTAGAATGTTATCTTTGGGGTTTCAGAAACCTAATTTTAAAGATCTTACAAAAGCGTCATAAATTAATCTCAATAAATTATCTTTAATTTAAATGAAGACAAAGTTTGGTAAGGACATCAACATATTTAAGATCCCAAGTTAGATGGAATTATGTGAAGAAACACGAAGATTCAAATATAAGATTGTAAGGTAACATAAACCATCTTTAAAGTAGAGTGCACTGGAAAATGAACGCTTGAAACTATCCCTTTGTTTTGTTAACTTTTACATATACACAAATTATCATCATGCGGCAGATTCAGAAAAGAATTCACAATATTTTAGAAAATAATGCCCTAAACTGACAGATCTGATATCGTTACAAGTTGTCCATCATAAGAAGTTGAACGTAACATTAAAAGCCGGTGATGGAAATTCGGTTGTAACGGCCTTGGGAAAATCATTAATATCATAATTTCTAATTAGATCCTTGAGTTACCATCTTTGGAAGCCAGTTCTAGTGCCTCGTCCACATCCTTCAGACATCCTGCAGTGACGATGATCTTATCCAGACCCTGTTGCCACGCACGTTTCAAAACAATGTCCAGGTCGGCAGGGTGCTTCTGGGATCCGCCGTAGCAGCCCTGGAACATGGGATCCGTCAGGTTGGCTCCAATATCTGTGGAACATGGCTAGTAGTAGTCAGATCAGCAGTACTTTAGTTAATTTACCACGACGTACCAATAAACTTCATTGCAATTCCAAATTGTCGGCGCAGCATTAGAAAAAATACCCTAAAAATGCCACCCGGTGGGTAAACAGCTGTTTCCTTAGCCTTCGACTTCCGCCAGGGGGCGCTTGAAACCGGAACCGTGGTAGGCGCCAGGAGGCGCTGCATGCTGTTTCCGTTGAAATTTGAAATTAAAATTAAATCTGCGTAAGACCATAAGTCTAACAACGTGCCGGTATAAAATTCGGTTTCCAACGCACTTTCCCCCGAATAAAATGCATCGACTAAGCCAATTTAATGCAAAATCAATGGCACAGTAAATTGCATTCGGAATTGCGCATAATGCAAACTCATTAGGCCGCGCCAGCAAAGCTGTTTATTGTTTGCAGTGGATGCTAAAGCGGCTTGCCTCCGAAACTCGGGGAACCCCTCGCCACATAGGCGAATGCAAATTTCAAATCACCACCCGTGGAATTGACACCCCCCGGTTGCTCTAAGCCGGCAATCGGCATTTACGCAATTGCAGAATTTATGGGAAAATGCAATTTATAATTTCAATGAAATTCCATTAGTTACTTTTAATGGATGCTGCGGTCGGTAGTTTACTGGGGTGCTGCATCTAGGCGGGCACTGGTTTTAATTGATTTAGTGGAAATTGCTCACTACACCATTTTCCTGGTGACCAAGGGGCTCCGTTCCGAAGCCCCGATGCAAAACAGAATGTAGAATGAAATGAAATGTAATTCATTATGCAACGGAATCAAACATTTTACACCGATGCCTGGGACGCATTGTGGTTTATTTAAACTGGCTAATACAATTGTCAATAATTCAATTTGAATTGAAATTCAATTAGTTACAAGTACATGACACACATACGCACACTTAGAGAGTTAATTTGGGTTTTTCTTCGACTATTTTAGGGTTACAAGTTACGATCTTTCGATTCTGTATAGAGTAGTAGGTAAATAACGGTTTGTCGCCGTGCGATTCCATTCATTTGTTAGAACAATCGAATTACGTACACGAATATGTATTTAAAATCGGGTAAGTTGGATAAGTCAGCTGATATACTCTGATATAACGCGCATCTCGTCCTCCCGCGGCGGTCGAATGCCTCCTGACCCCTGTGTTCCCATTGGTTGATGATATAAGTTGCGGTTAGTTGATTAGAGATCGAGTACGGGTTGGGCTCTTCAGATTTGTTGTCAATTAACTACACCTAGTAACAATGTATGTATAAACGCATTACTTGTAAACAAACATCCAAACTGTATACACAAACTTGTTGGTTTTAGTACAGACTAGGTAATAAATACATTAATGCATAATGCCGTATATATAGTATATGTATAACTAGGTCTGGCCTGTCAATCCTCTCTGGACGAAAGCAACAATACTATTTTTCCATTACTGAAATCTCTGTGTGCACTGTTTGCACTCGTTTTTCAGTTGTACATTTATTTAGATGTACTTGGTTTAATCACAATTCACTTTGCATATGCCGTACTCCATCCATTTACAGATCTCTAAGTAATCCTGCCATACTCAGTACCGCCTAAAAGTAGTCTTTAAAATAAATCTTATTTGCTAAGCACATTCCGGTAAACAAACACAAAGGATTCTTATCACACACTGGCGAACTCACGCAAGTGTAACTTGTGCTTTCGCCAAGGAGAAAGTAACTCGCATGCAAAAGTTGCGTATTAAAAACAGATTTATCGATTATTCTCTGCCATAAATCTCTCGCCTGCGAACTTGATGTGCACTGTGGGGCATTTGATTTGGCAATTTAGCATAAGAAGGTCACCCTGTATTATCCTTGATAAGCATTTCGTGATTTCGCCCTCTTTCGCGGACTCATCAAATTTACTTTACAATTACGTTTTTCGCATAGTAAATTGTTTTGTGCTCTCTGTGTTAAAGTTTTTGTTATTTTACGTGGCCGGGGCCAAAGGAGAATGCCGCGAAATTGCTTTATTCTTACAAAACTTGCCTTGAGTCCCAATTCACCCTGTCGCTGGGATTCAATTTGGCGTCTTACCGAGCGAGTTGGGCTCAAGGCAAATATAAACACTCGTACCCATCCATCAAGATTGTTGTTAATATATATGTACTATATACGGAACGTTGTAATATTAACTATGGTGTCGGCTAAGGGTGCAGATAGAGCTTTATAAATTAGCATTCTAGAATTTACCTTAAAGCTATGCAACCTATCATAATGTTATGACAATCCATCAGTGGAAAACGTGTTTAACTTAGTCCTTCCTCAAAAAAGCACCCCCTTCAACAAACAACAACAACAGCTGAGCCATTAATTTCTCATCAAAAGGAACTCTCCGAACGGTATTACGATTCTTTAAAATATCGCCCCTGTCTCTCGGCTTCTCTCTCAATTAAATTCAAATTGCGTACCCAAAGTCTATACTAAAATTTATGAAAATTGAAATCGAAATTGTTTGTCGTATAAAAGTTAATTTTAAATTTAAATAAACCTGGTCCCTTTAAACGTTAATGACCGGAAATAGATTGATGTGCATAATTCCCTCGCAAGTCAGCTTAGTGTCAGAACAATCCCTTATCTTTTGTGCTCCGATGACACTGGATTAAAACGATATAAAATGTTTGTTAAATCTACTGGAAAGAAAAACGTATTATGTATAAAAACTAAGAGAATTATTTGATTTTTAGGGTAAGTACAGAGCTACCTACTTATCTACTTAATGTCTTTAAAAAATATTTCTAACCCTTGACCAGTGTCATCATGGCATCATTTTGAAGCTGCAGTTTTTGCTTCATATTCGATCCAAACACACAGTAAATAAATTACGGAAGTTACTACATATAGAGTTTGCAAAATTTATCGCACTGGCTTTGTTTGCCCTTGAGCAAGTGGGTTTTTGTGAGTTTTATATTATCAGAATAATCAGCCCATTGCACCGAACATAAATACTGCGCCACTTGTTTGTGCGCGCTAATTAACTGGCGCCCATTATTAATACATATTGTGGCCAAACATAATAACATAATTAAGCGTCGGGCTGCCGGCCAAAATAATAGTTTACTGCACATTGCAGTCGTCGGATGCGTTGTTGATTTGCTGCTTGGTCTTGCGTGATGCGCGGCGTATGAGCGATCTGGAATGTGGATAGGAAAAAGTGGTCAGGTGGCCAAACAGGAACCGGATGTGCCCGGTTGTCAGGGGGACTCCATCCACCGCACTCACCTGGAACGCGGCTTCAGCTTGGCCTCCGCACTGGTGCTGGCCACATCCACGGCGTCCACGAGGCTCGAGGCCTTCTTGTCCCCACTGCCGCCGGCTCCTCCCAGGGCCGGGCTGTTCATCCGATTTTTATCTGCAACAAATAGATGGTGACGCGTGGCTAATTAATATCCGCGAGTGCATTTAATGACCGCCGTTCGCCGGCACAAAGGGACTGCGAGATTTCGGAGCTGCGAGTGCAGCGAAAATCCAATTTCCCCCACTGAGGTTCTCTGGCCTTGTCCCGTTGTCGGAGCAACTGGGACATGAGGATATCCGGACATTTCAGCATCCCAGCATCCTGCAGCATCCACTGCAGCCGCCGAGCGCTGACGTAATTAACTTATGAACGTCACATACAAAGAGCCGGGGAGGGAGTTGCACATCGCAAAGTTACCGCTCGAAATGGGTTTTTTTACAGCCGGTTGCACAGTCAAAGTTCATCTCAAGATAAGAGGTCTGAAGCGAATCCCACCCCAACACCCATTCTGCCTTTGGGATCCGACTCAGTCTATCTGGCACGCATCTTCTGCCAATATGGCAAAGGGACGTCAAAGGAGTAACCACCGATGGCAAAGGGAGAAGATCTTCCCAACGCACCCGCTGGAGGTCGGGGTTCAATTAAAATCAGCTATGAAGTACTATGCTATGACGGTTTTCAGACCGGGTTTCATAAAAAAGATACTTGATAACCAGTTCATCATAGAAATGGTATCATGAAATGATGATGGCATACTAAAACTAACTAGTTTTGTTTAAATTCTTTTGTTTTTTTAAGACCTCAGAAGTCAAGCATTACCATAAAACTAGGAATTTTGAATAAAAGATAATATAAAAGTACAAATCTAGTTAACCTCCTCGGTTGGTATTCCATTTAAAATCCTATTTTAGGCAAAAAATATTAAAATCAGGAAAATATTTTAATCAATTATCTTTTAAGCGTTTCTCTGGTGTAATATTTTTATTAATTTAAAGTTAGAATTGTTAGCAAAGTGGGGACTAACATAGAAACTTAAAGTACTAGCCGACCATCGACTACTCAAATTTAATCCCCACATTGCCAAGGCCAAAAGTTTAATAGGAATGTATATAAGTACGGAAGTGCTTACGTCACTGCCAACTACATAAGTAGCTCAAAAGTCGTCTTTAAAGTCGAACCAATTAAATAAATCAGTGTCAATGGAGTCATTACCTTTCCGGTAATCCTCAATCAGGCAGCTTAGGCTGCCGAAGCGAGTGTTCAACTGGCACAAAAGGTGTTCGCATCAAGATGTTTGTCCTGGCAGTAAACAAACCTTTTTGTTCAACCGGAGCGGGCAATAAAGCCCCGAACAAAGAAAGGGCTTACAATGGCAAAACAATTGATAACTTTGCCGGGAAGGGGAGGTGTGAATGTGAGGCATTAGAACCGCAAGACAAATACAAAGGAAATGCCAGGGCCAAGTCAATTTAGTTATTAAACTTTGCAGCTTAGTGGCAAAAGATGTCAAATGATCCGAGCAAACAGAATTATTGAGAGGGCCAGCAGCAGAGCACTTTGTGGCAGAGTGTTGCATTGCATACTTTTGGGTGTCGCCGGATGTCAAGTGCAAACAAAATGGCCGCCGACGCCATTGTTGTCAAAAAAAGCCGTTGGGCGGAAGTGGAAGAGAATACAATTGCTGCCGCTGACAGAAAGCGCGCGAAAATGGCTTCGTTCCCCTTTTTTGGGGAGCAAAGACCGACGTGGCCATGCCCTAACGCCCTGGTTCAGTAAACCCCCCCCCATGACTGAGAATCCCTAACGAGGACCCTCGCACGCAAAAATACTGCCATCACGGCACAAAAACAAACAAGTGCCGAGGGTGGACGGATGTGCCGGTGGCCGGGGCTCGGTTTTGGGGATATAAATTGTGCATATGCGGCTGGAATTGATGTGCGCGTCGTGTAACAGAAATTTAAATTAAATTTGTTTCACTTCTCCTGCTCTCTGTATAGGGTTTCGGCACAAAGACACGACCGTGCAAAGAAAAAAACACAAAACATTCGAGTGCCACAATGGGCGTTTATTGTGCTGCGAGCACGAACATAAAAAGGCCTTGCCACATCAATTGGTTTACATCCGATACCCCCAAAGTTAAAATGTTTACGCAAAAACCTGCTTTTAATTCAGGTGTATATATACTTTACGACAACTATTTGGCGTGTAAAATGAGTGGGTGGCTAAATTGTATCTGCAATTGCCGTCAAAAAGCAATAGATTGTAAAATAATCCGCCAATGCAGTTAAATAAATCACCAATGAATCGTAATGGTCCAATATAATCATTATATGTGAGTTTCATTTTTTAATCACTACCATTTTTTATGTCAAAATAACAAGGTATATACTTCTTTTCGCTAAATTTAAAATACAAATCTCCATTTACACGTGTGCACAATGGGTCTAAAATTAGCCAAATTAGAAAAAATGTATACCTCGAAATCCTAGCAGGCCATTAAAAATCAAAATCACGAGTACATATTTTTTTTGAAATATGAATCATTGCTAAGCTTAAGTTAGCATAACTTTATTCGTTATTCATGCACTTGTACAAGAGCAATTAAAAGTTTTTTAACAAGCATATTCATTAGATTTCTAATTTCCCAGTGGGTCCCTATCGAGTAATAAGTCCAACCAGTCAATCAAACTTTAACAATTAAACATTTCCAATGAAGAGAAAATGTAGAATCCTTCGTGAGACTATCAGACATGTTTAAATTTCCATATCTTTAACCAAAGACGATCACTCAACATCTCGGGAAGAGACGCATGAACGTGGCTCAAATATGTTAAGCATGTAATGTGTGTTAGGAAGCACCCACAATTGAGTTAGGCTCTGGTTTGTGGAGCTGAAATAAAACGGCTTGCGGCGAGAACCACCCGAAAACCATGCCAGCGAGCCAGGAAAAGCGAGGAGCCAGAGGAAAAGCCGCTTTCCCGGCCGCAGCACATGTGTGTGGCCTGCAGCTTTGGCTTTGTCTCAACTTACATGGGCTACATGGCGTTTCTCGTCCATTTTTCCTGCCACCACCCATCGCCCATCGCCCATTACCCATCTAACAAACACTGGGACTTCAGAGCGCCGTAAACACGTGTGGCACAATCTGAGCCACAAAATGGCAGCGTCGTAAATGAAATTTCTGTGATTCGCTTTGCATACGTCGCGGGCTGTACTTTTTAAGGCAATTACTTGACTGCGGCCCCTTGAGCCGCAAGTGATTAAGTGCTCAGACCTATTTTCGGTGGCACATTCAGGGCGTCGTTGTCGCCGCTGTCGCCTCTTAACCTCTGCACCCCAGAACCCCAGAACAGCAGAACCCCTGAACCCCTGAACCGCCGTCTGCCACTCGACCTTCGCCATTCAGACCACCATTGTCGCCGTGTCTTGTCCGCATGTCATCGACAGTTGTGCCTTGTATGTGGGGTGTATGTTGTGGGACGTGGCCCCTCGACCAAGTATTTGACAACATTTTTCGGCCAGCATTTAATATGTTTTGTGGGGCGACAATAACGAGCGACTCTTGGCCATTTGAATTTAAATTTGCTGGAAATCATGTGCTTTTACATATAATATTCGGAATTTTCGACTTGTCGACTTCGCTGTTGGCCAACTTTTCACTTCATTTGAATGACTTTAGCGGCAGCCACTAAAATTTTAGGAAAGTCTTTCGGGGCGAACAATTGAATTATTGGCATTTTCGCGGAAAACTGGTAGCTGGTATCCTCATGATTCAACAACTTTTTCTTCGTCGAAAATTAAATTAATTATTTGGAGGAGTGGCAGAGTCAGAAGCAACATTTTGGGGCAACATTAATTAACTAGATATTTATACTTTGACGAGCTCGGCGAAATTTCAAGTTCTTAAGCCCCGCTGGCGAATTCTATTTTCATATGCTGCGAACTAAGTTTTTAATGAGATAATAAAGCATTCCATTACAGGGTAATTAGGAGGTCAAGCTGTTTAATTAATACACGTGCTGGCTCGAAAACATTTTGATAGAATGGAATTCGTTTGAACATCGCAGGGAAAGGATGACCCGAAAAGCGAACTTGGCCTTGTTGTGCTTTTAGCCAAGTCTGGACGGTTTTTTTCCCCGTTTAGCCTTGCTTTGCTTTGCTTTTCTGTATTTCTTTTATTGGGCTCCGTTTTGTCGTCTGATGAATAATGAAAAAGAGTTTGTCTTTGTCAATTGGGTCGGAAGAAAGGGTCTCGGCTGACGGTTTCACTTGACTGCCGAATTTCCACAATTAATTAGGCCGAAGACAGGAGGAATGCTAATTGCATTCAATTAGCCAAATTGCCAAAAGTTATTCTCGTCCTGGGCGCATTTAAAGAATTTCCATTAATTGGCCACATGCGCGTGCGGCTTCGCGCCTTTGTTTAAAGTTAATATATTTATAAATGTGCATCAATTATTGATTAAGCCCGGCCAGCTGCGGCCTAGTCAACGCTTAAGTCCGTGGCCTAATTACATCTGCGACCGGTGAGCGGCTTATTATTGCATTTATGGCCGGCATGCTCGTATTTTAATTTCGCACTAATTAAGCTGCTTACGATGGCACTTAAAGCCACGAATAAATCTGAAATTGAACCCAGAATTTTGTTCCGATGGTTACCAGCCAGACTTTCAATCAGAGCCGGCAAATATGAAATGTTTAATTGATATTTGAAACTGCAACGACCAACCGGCGGGGGGAAAAAAACAATCAACAAAGAGTTTGAATCTGCTCGGCAGCGAGTGGGTTTTCATTTTCATTTTCATTTCGCCTGGCCATGGCAACACATTCTGTGAGGTTTGGCTTCAAGCCCTAGCTGTATGGACATGTCACGGACTGTCCTGGCCGCATGGATTTACAAGGATATTGGGGCTTAAAAGTTACGTTGAAAGAATTTGCAAAGTTAAAGAGGAAACATAACTCAAGGGATTCGGCAGGAATTTAATCTAACAACAAGTGTTTCTGAGGCCTGTAAATGTTAAATGTATGAATATTTATTTTAAGACCTAACGAACAATGAAAACAACATTCATAATCCTGTTTTATTCTTGTACCTAAATCAAAAACTTCATAGCTTGTTATCGCATAAGGATGATGCATTTGTTTTTATGATTAAAAGTACAGATTTTTAATGTTGCTTTTAAAATATTTTGACTTATAAATAAAATGACTAAAACTTCTGGGCTGGCGACGTTATAATTCCCAACCCGTTACAGCGCAGTAGCATGGTACACTACTTCAAGCATGTACAGTGAAGTCATTTCCCCTATTTTTGTGTATTGACCTTGAGTTTGGCCAAAAGTTCTCTCTACCAAAAATGTCGATTATAAAGTCAATCATTGGACAACCAAAGAATTTGAAAACAATCCAGATGCATTGATAGAACATTTTTTCACACATATAAAAAAATGTTTCCAGGAATTCCCTGAAAACTAAAGCACGTTCAAGGTTTTTAGATTTAAGGAAGGAAAAATAAACATTTTCTGAAAAGAAAAATGGGATTCCTTAACTTGAAAAGATTTCTAGGTTAAAGAATTTTCGAAAATTCGAGGTGGTTTATAGAAAAATGTTTCAAGGAATTCCATGAGAACTAAAGCACGTTCCAGGTTTTCAGATTTAATGAAGGAAAAATAAACATTTTCTGAAAAGAAAAATGGGATTTCTTAAGTTGAAAAGATTTCTAGGTTAAAGTATAGTTGAAAATTAAAGGTTCTTGATAGAAAAATGTTTCAAGGAATTCCTTGAGAACTAAAGCACGTTCAAGGTTTTCAGATTTAAAGAAGGAAATAAAACATGTTCTGAAAAGAAGAATGGGATTCCTTGACTTGAAAAGATTTCTAGGTTAAAGAATTTTGGAAAATGAAAGGTGTTTGATGGCCGACAGAAGTAAGTAAACTGTTTTTATTTTGCTTAGATTAAAGGGTAACTGCATTTACTTACTGCGACTGGACGATGCGCTGACGTAGGCCGACGAGCGGCGCTTGAAACCACTGGGCGCCGCCTCGCCGGCGGTCCCGCTGCCCCCGCTCCCGCTGCTGCTGGCGGGCAGGAAGCGGGACAGGGAGAGCAGGGACTTGAAGAGGTCGGTCACGTTGCTGTCCTCCTTCGCCGAGCACTCCAGCACTTTTGCCCTGCGAGGATGGTACGAGAAACTGGGTTTAAAAGGGTTGCATACTTTTTAGGGATGACTGCATAAGTGGCGTATACATAATGCATACATACATCAGCAAATTTCGGTGGCCCAAAACAAAGCGATACCGACACAAAAAGCCCCAAAACCGAACAGGCAAAAAAGGAAAGTCTAAACAAAACCTGGCCAACAATACGGTTTGTGTTCAATGCATAACAGAGTTTTTGTGCGAAAGTGGGCCATCGAAAATCATCCAGGGTCGGCCGAAACAAATGTTGCTAATGGCCAAATTAAGCGTGTCATGTACGGCTCAGTACGGTGGATTCACTGCAGGTTGCGGCCACGAAGCCGGTTCGCGGTAGCCCCATACAACTGCGGCCAAGGCTGAGACGAGGATGAGCAGGATGTGGATGAGGATGAGGATGTCTATGACGAGGACGAGGACAGGTGATGTTCAACACACTGGCCATGTCAGAACTACATACCTAGAACTGTCTGTCAGAGGGATTTTAAGCTTTAATCTGGCCATCATCGGACAGCTTAGCTCAAAACAAATAATTTCAGCATGGCTTTCCATCAGAAAGTCATCGGTTCTTTGGTTGCTGCGTGGGTTTTCAAAGAATTTTAATCTTATTTTTAAGCCGAATTCTCCAGATTACTTGCTTTTCTTTCTTCCAGGAAAAGTTTACCGAAAAATACATTTATGTCGTTAGTCCTTGGTAAACGTATTTTATCGAATCTGTATGAAGACCGTAGATCTGCTTTGCTTAAATTAAACCTACTATGGTTACTGTGGCTTTAATATAAGGAATGTATAATGAACTTTACTTTGTTAGATTCTTAGAATTTTAATATTTCAATTGAGGTAAAATGTATTTTATTTAGTTTGATTCCTAGAATTTAAGGTAGTAATATTTATTTCCAGCTAAATATAATCTTAATATAATTTTAAATTATCGAAAAGCTTACCGAAAAATACATTTATGTCGTTATTCCTCTGGTAAACGTATTCTAACGAATTTGTATGAAAACCATAAATCTGCTTTGGTTAAACTAAACCTACTATGGCTATTGTGGCCTAAATAAAATAAACTTTACTTAGTTTGATTCCTAAAATTTTAATATTTTAATTGAGGTAAAATGAACTTTAGTTAGTTTGATTCCTAGAATTTTAACGTTTCGTTTGAGATAGTAATCTTTATTTCCAGCTAAATATAATCGTAACCCTTTAATATTAGAATTAAATTTTAATTTATCAGAAATTCCCTTTGATTGAATTGCTATTTAAGGAATGAATAATAATTATCTCTTGTCATTAAAAATGTTTTTTGGTAAAATTTAATTTAGTCATCTGAAAGTCCCTTTAATGGAATTGAAACCGTTGACTGAGAGACGGTCCATTTTTTATTATTCCACAAAGCTTCGTTTAATTAAAATGGTAACGGCTGACTTGGCAAAATAAATAAATAGATGGCAGAATTGTTAATGCCGTAAGCTGCAATAACAGTAAATCAAAGTAAAATTGATATCGCATGTGAGTTCATTTTTCGCATTAACGCAGGCAAAATGCCAGGGAAAAATGCGCATGACTTTGCAATTAAATGTTGAATAAATACATTGTTCCACCTTTGGTAAAGTAAAAGCACTTACATGTGTAGCAGGGAGCAGGCCTCCCATGTATCCAACGGATACGTGGGGTATCCACATGGAGCACGTTATGTAAGGGGTGTACTCATTCAGGCAGATAAATGCACTTGAGTGGCATGCTCTTAAAGCGTTTAACCGCAGACAGACAGCCTGGCAGACCGACAGACAAACAGGCAGAGCAACAAATTGCATTGCAACTCGATGCCGGAAAACGCTCCACAAACTTTCCATGTGGCAGAAAGTCTAGTGTGAAGGTGCGAGATTGTGGCGAAGGGTTCAAGGTGTTTTCCCCCTCGCTTTCGAGGGGCGAAACCGCACCATCAATCTGCGTGAATGTTTAATCCAACAGAGATTTGTTCGTAAAGCTCACGCCAACTGTCCTGCGTCCTGCATGCTGCCTCCCATGTCCTTCAGCCACCATCCACGCGGTACCCCATCCACCATCCACGCGATTCACCAGCCACCATCCACCATCCACCATCCTTCGTCCTGCGGCCTCTGTCATCTCCATTTTGCGGTTGAGTGCGCCTCCTGTGTGGCATTCTTCGGTCGCTTTTAAATAAGTTTACGCACGCTTGCTTAAACAGCAACACGAGCGTGCCACGCCCCACATGTGCCCCCGCCCACAGGGCGCCAGGATATGGAATTATGGACTCGGGACTCAGGATTCAGAACACAGGACACCTCTCCCCAGTGGCGGCCACGAATGTGATTGTAAGTGATTTTTACGAGTCCTGTCCCGCAGTCTATTAAGGAAGCAATTACGGCGCGAAAACAGCCTAAAAAGAAGTGCTGGCCAGCGAGTCCTTTTTCCAACAGCGAATCGAAGGGATGCGACCTCGCTTTCAGGGCTAGCTGACACGCAAAAAATGCATTAAAATTATTAATGTGGCAAACAAAGGACTGAATCAGCCCATTTACACTCATTAACCACTCGTCGATTCGGACTGTAATCTACTTTAGGTGGCACAGTTGAACTTTCGTATAACCTTTGGGTTTTTCCTAATTCGGTAGAAATAGGTGCTAGCTTATAGATGAAGAAGAATGCCTTAGATATTATGTAGTTTTGTATACAATATAAGATATAAAATTCCTTTCATTATATGTATATACAGTTTTGCAGTTTCTTACTCATTAACCACTCGTCGATTCGGACTGTAATCTACTTCACCTGACACAGCTGAACTTTTGCATTCATTTTTTGGGTTTTTCCAAATTTGGAAGAAATACTTGCCAGCTTTAAAATGAAGAAGAATGCCTAAGATATTTTGTATTTTTATAAAAAAGGTATTAAACTCCTTTCATCATATATACCTTTGTCACTTTCTTACTCCCTTACACTTTTTTATACTTTCGTATAACCTTTGGGTTTTTTCCAAATTCAGTAGAAATATTGGCTTTCAAAATAAAGAGGATAGATATAAAATTCCTTTTATCATAGATACAATTTGTCAGTTTCTTACCGAAAAAAAAGAAAACAAAAGAAAACATTTCTACCATTTTGTGCGAGTCAGATTAAATATGAATACAAATATTTATACAATTCACCCATCACCTTCATGCATATTTTATAACCTCTTTTGCCGAACTAAAGCAAATATGCACATCCACAACTTTCTTTGCCTTACTTCTCTCATTCAATGTCATTTTGCAGGTGGAATCAGACAGACTCTTGAGTATTTACCCATTGTGCTGAAGCAGAAAACATAAATCAGCCTCTGCCACTACTAATCAAACATCTCGGGGTCCCCAATTCCCCGGAGCACCGTTCGAACAGTTCGAGAGCAGCAGGTTGAAGGACCTCATGCATATGTGCATATAGAATGCCCGACTGTTTGGTATTCAAAGTATCGCTCGCCGTGATACTGTAACATATCACTCATACGAACAGTTGGTCGCCGTCGAGAATCGCATATTGATGTCCTGCATGACAGCAACACCGTTTGCGGCACAAGATGGCCAATTAGGAGCTATTATGGGGAAGTGTCCCTCCTGAAAACTACGAAGCGCTGTGCTGCTCCTGATGCGATTTGCTACTCTCTGCACTGGGAAAAATATCTACAATTATTTAGAAAATCGAACTTGAGATGTGAGAAACTTTAAATCAAGAAAAACATAATTTAATTACTTTTTTGTCCTTGTCCTTCTACAGAAAAACAAAATGTAAAATACTAAAAATAAATAAAAAGTCCAAATATATTTTTATAATTCATAAATTTTGTTAAATTTTCATATTTAAAAGAATATATTTTTTACGCTTCAACAATATTTTCCTATCACTGTGAAAACTTTGACTGAAACAATTGAGAAAGTTATTTATGTAGTTTGCATTTATAAATTACACATTATTCATATTTTCGTAAAACTTAAAATGCAGTCTTTTAATTGTGTTAAAATATCCCTCGTTATTACTGTTTTTCAGTTTGTGTTTGTGTAAAATGTTTTAAACTATTTTAAAAACCGACCTTGAGTTATGAAAAAATATCAATCAAAGTATGTATCCTTTTTAATGAGTATTTAATATTTTATATATTTTTCATTTCTTTCCCTTTCTCAGGAAAAATACTCCTTATCACTATGAAATATATTTTTTAATAAGTATTTTATGGTTTACAAATTTTGCTTCCTACCAATTTTCAGAAAATCACTTTATGAGCTTCAAAATTTTCCCCATCACTGTGAGTACTTTGACTAAAGCAATAAAGGAAGTTATTTATGAAGCTTAGATTTATAAATGTAGCGATTGTCAGATTGTGATAAAACTAAAAATGCCTTCTTTGCGTTGTGTTAGAATAACCCTCATTATTTCTGTTTTTCAGTGTGAAGTTCTGGCTCCGACACTTTTCCCGGCTAACAAATAGCGTTTAATGAGCGCCAGAACCCCTTCCGCGGACAATGCAACTGGTTTCGGAGGACCAACTCGCTTCCATGGCCCGCCGTCACGCTTTCTGTCGCTTAATTTCATTTCTAGCAATTTAATTGCGCCGCCTGCTTTTTGCCTTTTGCAGCTCGCCGTTTGCCATTTGCCATTTGCCATTGCAGCTTTTCTGGGGTGGCCAACGAATTTATGGCTCTTTTTTAATACCACTTTGTTGCGTTACTTATGAAAATTGCAGCTGTTTGGCGGTTTTGCGGCTTTGTGTCCCGGGCTTTGTTGCACAACTTTTGGCAGTTGTCCCCTAATTGCTGTCGCATGCAGCAGCTGTTGCGCATTTTTATGCCAGCCGTATTTTGTGAAATTAATGTGGAGACTTACCGTAGCCGCGGCAGCTCGCAGAAGACCCAATCGGTCACCTCCTCCAGCTTGACCTCCCGGTGGGTGGTGGCCAGGTCGGCCTTGTTCCCGGCGATCACAATGGGGATGTCCTGTGGGGCGAGAGGTAGTAGAATTAGTGGTTCGGGTCACTCGGAGCGGAACAAGCATCCTCCCACTTCCCCCGAAATCGGGGTGCGGACAAGGCGAATTGCGCTATAATTGATACTCGCCTTCACAATGGCGGCGGAAACCGGAAACCGTGAAAGCGCCACGCGAAACAATGGCCCTAACTATCCCATAGTGGGTTGAACCAAGCTGAAAGTGACTTTTCTACCAGGCTTTCGTAATTCGAAACATGTCTTCCGAATTTTATTTTGAAACTAGTCAAAGTCAAGGAATATTATCATATCAACAAAAAAAATCGTAATATACTTTACTCTTTTATATACGATTTTGTCTCAATTGTGTCCAAGTACCCATAATATTTCCTGATAAAAAAATGGTAATCCCATGTCTAGTATTGTATATATATGGATCCATTTAAATTAAAGGGGATGGGGTAGAAAAAAAACAATTAATTGGTAGCTATCTACGCTACCTAGAATAATATAGTTGTTCTAATAATGGAAAAAGGACGCATGAATGGTACCTTTTAATATAAAACCTTATATTGTCCAAAAGCACTAATTTTTGGATTCCTTTAATGTTTCAAGAGCGATATATAAGCGGGTAAGAGAAGACCATACAAAAATTTCCTACAAAGAAATTACCTATACCTTACCATATCCTTTAGTTTCAAATATTTTACCTACATATTTCTTACAAATTTATTTTGCCCCAAGCTTTTGATGATTCGAGTGTCGGACTATAACAATGTACCTATACTAGATTACGTTTCCGGATATATCTAGCTTATATAATTGATCCAACATTCCTTAAATATATTACCTTTTTACTTAAACAAAATGAAATATCAGGAATTGTTTCTTCCTTGCTCACATTTTATTATACTACTTTCAAAATGAGGGTAAGGAGACCTAACTAAGGACCCTTTGCCTTTGAAGCTTGTAAAAGCTGGCCCACTGTGCAACGTTAGAACAAGAGGCCGGCAAAAAGCCTAAACCTCTGCCGCTTGGCTTGACTTCTCCGGCTCAAAGGGGAACATTTATAATTGCTTTTCGGATTGTGGCGGAGTGCGGGCTCTGTTCTCGACCCATTCGCCCTTCAGCCCTCGCCTCGCTGATTGCATGCAAAATGCAGGAGTGCAGTTGCACATGAGACCAGTAACCTGTAATCTGAAACCCCTAACCCGTAACCCCTAGCCCGTATCCAGTAACCTGCAACTCACCTGGAAATCGCCGCGCTGCTCGCGGATCTCCTCGAAGCACTGCTTCACACACTGGAAACTGGGCGCCGATGTGGCCGCGTAGACGAGCATGAACGCGTGCGCCGTGGCGATGGACAGGCGCCGCATGGCCGGGAATTGCATGTCACCCGACGTGTCCAGGATGTCCACCTGCAAGGGATGAGGGCACCGGATGGGGATAATGCTCTTAAATTACGTATAATTAAATTTAAACAGCCATAGCAATGCAATAAGCTCCCGGCTATTTGGAATCCCCTGTCCTGCCTGACAGTTCGCTGCTCATGGAAGCATCTGCCAAGCGGTCGCGGTTTTTAATTGACATATAATTTTTAAAAATCGTATTATGATATACTCCCCTGATATGATATGTCCCCTACATAAATTCAATTTAATTCGTTTTAAAAGAATTCAATTTGATTATTACAATTACCAATAATTATTGTTGGTGTGTATTACAAAATAAATCGACTTCAATACTAAGTGCCTTTATAATCATATGTACTTAATAACAATTTGGCAAAAGTACCTCTGTATAAAAGAAAAATAAAATTGTGGCAAAAAGTAAGGTAAAATTATTTGTAAAATTAAAAATTTTCATTTTTTCTTCTAAATTAATAAATTTTCCTTTAAAGTAATCCCCTCCCGGTAAAATACACTTATGCCAACGTTTTTTACAATCATCGAAACATGCCAAATAATCCCTTTCGGGTAAATTCACCTTACTTTTTTTTAAATGCAAGAACGAATTTTATAAGAAATTTGTTTATAGTACTTTGTTTTTTTCTGAGATATGTTAATATGTTTTATTGTTTTTTGGTTTCTCCGAAGTTTTGAGTCGGAACTTGTTTTAAAAGGAATTTTTTTTCGAGGAAAGAGATTATTGATTTTCTTAAAAAAATTGGTTACAGCTTAGTCTTTTTTAAAATCGTTTCTGTTGCTTTCGACTTAGAGTCCACAAAGCGAATTTGTTTTTTCTGTAAATGTTCAATTTTCTATAATTTATTTGGCGTGGCCCCTCGTTACAAAAGACTTTAAGCGGAGTGATTTTTAAACGATTTGCCGAGTACAAGGACATCGGCCCCGCGGCGTCGGTGGTGTCTGGTTGTCAGGCTGCCTGGCTATCTGGCTATCTGGGTTTCTGGGTATCTGGCTACGTGGGCGGTGGCTCCTGGGTCGTGACTCCTGGCTGGCTGAGCGACCCTCTGCCCACTTGATGCCAACTAATCCCCGTGTCAGCATCTGTTATGTTGTATACACCGCCTCGTGGCGTACGCGATACGCATTGAACGAGATCCGGATTGTCAATAGGATGTTAAAGTCGGGTCGTCAAAGAGGAGAAAAGAGCCGGAGGCAGACCGTTTAGCCCTGTCAGTATCATCCCAGCTCCTCCATCGACAGCCCCGGCCATTGTGACGCAAATTTGTAGCGCATTGTTTGGCCGAAATGAGTAAACTTTATTAAAAACACTCTACAGAATGACACAATTTATATTTTTGACACCATTTCTCGTCGCCCAGCCATTGTTCGCTTTTCCCGGCTTTGTTCGAACATCTATGTTTAAGGCATTCGATTCATCCTGCTGTGTGGCATACAGAAAATTGCTTTTAAAGGGCAGGAATCGTTTAGTGCAATGTAATGCTCCCATTTGATGGCCTGGCCACATGCTGCTCCGACAATCAGTCACAGCGGGCTGCAGGGCTTCCTTGTTTGGAAAAGCTGGTGAACCATTGGTTAAGGTGATTGTGATGCACCTGACCGAAGTCGGGAATAAATCACTTTAAGCCTGGGCCACAGCTTCCAAGGGGAATTCAATCTGGGTATAGTTAAGTAATGGATGCGCTCCCCGTCGGTGGCTAAAATGAAATTAATTAAATCGAACTGTGTCCTCGCCACCAAGAGTGTCAGTGTCGCCAAATAACAACCTCTCGGAATCAATTTGGCCAGCCAGAACGATGATAATGATGCCGGCAAACCAAGCTCAGCGCCTTTCAGCCCATCTATTAATCAACTTTCCGCCCAACTTTTGTTCCCCGAACATGTAAGACAAGTTTGAACAGCATATAATCAGTTCCAGCGCCGATGAGCGCAGAGCAGTGAATGATGTTCCATCAGAAGTTTCCTCTTTCAGGACATGGTCGTAAGGATGCCTAGGAAGGCAGCTGTGATGCCTGATTTTATGGAGCTTCGGATTTCAGCCAGACCTCTCTGGGTTGATTTTTGCACAGACGATTAAGACCCGATTAAAATAATACACAACGGTTATCAGTTTCCGGTGTATTTCCCCTGGCAAGGCAAGTTATTATCCATTTATTGCCCCTCTTAAGTAGCATATTAGAGCACCCAAATCCGGAATTCTTTCGGCGGCAGCACTGGTGGCTCGTCGTGTTTGGGGTGGGTCCACATTTTCCATGTGGCTTCCGCTGTTTTGAGCGTGTGCAAATTTGATTAATGAGCCACCGCCCACACTTTCTCCTTGAGTCTGTCAGTCAGTTTGTCAGCCAGTGGGTGGGCATTAAAATCCCTTCCCAAAACTATTCACCCAAGATTGCCGTAAGTACATTTAAATCAGCAAGGTTTCATTCACTCAATTTGTGTTTTCATCCTGAGTACATTTATGTAATCATCTGGAGTTGTGCCCCCGGCTAAAACCACCGACCCACAAACCAGAAACCACTTCTGCCTGATTCACTTCGCTCCAAATAGGCTTTTTGGGGAGCTTCTCAATTGCCAGGAGACCGAAAACACACGTGTCTTGGCTAATACTTTGCATATGGAGAGTAATGTCTTTGCCGGCGGCAAATTCTCCAGACATCCAATTAGAAGATTTCTACCTAATTAATGGGCTTTGCATTCCCATCGAGTTGATGACCACAACAGTGATTGGGTTAATGAAGCCGTCCTAACTGCTGGCAATTAAAATTATTCAGGAGAGCTCAAATGTCGAGTAGCCATATTAATTTCATTCATCTCTCATAAAGGTTGATTCTCGCAGGAGAGTGGTGCTTACATTTATTTGTTTTACTTGAAGAGTATATTCTAAAAGCTTAAAACAAATACTAGGAATTTATAAATCTCTCTTTTAAAAATGTTTGAAAATTTACAGGTATTTACAAAGTTAATTAGGCCCAATTTTATGTCCTAAAATTATATTTCATATTTTTAAATTGGACAATCGTTTTTGCTTGGTTTTTTTTAAATCCATTTTCTGTTGGGAACTTAAAGTGTATGCGATCGAATTTTTTAAACAGTGCCTCAGTTCATAATTCAATTTTATATATCTAAGGGAAAGCAAAAAACAATTAATTTAATGCTTAACGTACAGAAAACAACATAACTAAAAAGATAAAAAAATGTTCCGACAAGATTAAAACTATATTTAAAAAAGTTATTTATAATTTTCAAATAAAAAAAATATTTTTAAGCAATTTTGTTGGACCAAATCCTATAACATCAATTTTTGCTGCCTGTAATAAACCAATTTTTTTTCCCCGAGCTACAATGTCGTTTTGTTGCAGATCTCTTAAGTACCAAAACTTGTACAAAATCAATGTTACCGCACACTATAGAGCTATGAATGGGTAACTAGTTAAACTTTTGTTTAGCCTATTTTTCCGCATTACATACCCACAAATATCCACAGCGACCTACTGAAAATTCCCATTTGCTGCGTTTTGCGAGTGCATTGCTGACATTTTAGCACTTGTAAACAAACTACAGCGAAATTCCCCTCGAAATGTCAGCAAACAAGGACAAAAAAAGGCGCACGCTGGGCTTCGCTGCGTGGGTTCTTAGACTTATTGCATTGTAACCGGATTTGGGATTTAGGGGACTCCAGGACTCACCTTTAGTGTGACGCCCCCTAGGTCGTACTCGCGATTGTAGAGATCCTCGACGGTAGCGCGGTATTTGTCCGTGTAGGTTTTGAACAGGAAACGCTTCACAATGGAGCTCTTGCCCACGCCGGCGCCGCCCAGAAGGACGAGGCGAATGCGCTCCAGGTCCGCCATGCCGCTGGCCGCTTTGTCGACGTCTCCTGTTTAGAAATCGCTGGTCGTCAAGTGGAGTGCCCTCCTCGTCCACGTCCTCCTCCGATTGTTCAGCTCCAGCTGTAGTGTGTGTCGTGGATTTATTTGTTGCCCTGGCCTCAGCGCTGCATTATGCTGGATTTGTGTGCTTAAGCCAGAGTTGGGGCATTATAAGTCCCAACACTTCCTCGATTTCCGCTGCGAGCTTTGTGTTTTAGCAACACCTTATCCCCCATCAGCCATCACCATTACAGAGAAGGACGTTGGCAACAGGCAACCAAACTTCCGGCCCGGCAACTTCCGCTTCCGGTCGCGAAGTAGTGCGAAGCTGTGGATGCAAACAAACGGAGTTAACTTCAACTTGATTTAATATTTTTAAATCCGCTCTTTAATTGGGTTGCAGCTGTGCAGTTGGCTGTTTAAAGCGAACTTTGGCTTTACCTGGTACAACATATTTCAACAAACTGAAAACTTTTATCACTTAAAGAAAATCCAACATGTGTTGTTTAATGAAGTGCACTGATAAAAAATGTTAAGTACTTGCATATCATATTCAACTTAAATATTTTTCGCTCTCCTCTTCGTTTCCCTTCTTATTGAATTTAAATGTGCTTTATGAAATTGAGTAGTTATAATTTGAAATGTATTTAATAAGAAATGTTTTTTTAATTGACATAGTAGGTTTAGAAAATGTTTGATGTAAATATTAGTATCATACAAACATTGTATCTAATATTTTCAACATTTATTCAATTATTTTCATATTAAATACCAGAATTTTCATGTTTTCTTTTTAACATTATGTTTTTTGTATTACTTTTTAAAATATGTTCAATTTTTGTATACAAGCATTCTTCATTCAAAGTAAATCTCTTCACGTATACCATCATTTTGATGAACAATTTTAAACGACTAAGACAAACGCATTGAAATCAACTAGAACTTTCATAATTTTTCCCCAAGGTAGCCAAACCGAAGCCATTCAGTATTTCAAAATTGAGTTTCCAGTTCCGTTGGCAACTTTGAATCCCATTCATTTTTGTTTGCTGCCTCTGATTGGCTTGCGCAGAGGATGCGCCTCCCGGGCTCAAAGTATCTGAAAGTGCAGTGGCATGCAGCAGTGGCATGCAACAGTGGCAGTGTGCTGCATGTAATCATAATCTGCTCACGTGCTCGCCCCACAAATCAGATAAACGTATGAGCGCGCTCGGCATCCGGAGGCCAGGCCAAATAACCCGGCATCGATACAAACTAAGACCATGCAATTGAAGGATCCCCCCCCACCCTGGATGCAATCCAAATAAGAACCCCATACGTATGCCCCATAAAGCAACAGACAAACACAGGGAGCGATGGAGTGGTAAAGTGGTAGAATACACAGGCAAAAAACCTGCATGCAGCAAGTGATGTAGGGTGGATGCTAAGTGCAGCCAATTCAATTTGCCAGCATTTTTGCAGTTCTTAAAGCTGGCAGAGTGGAGAGCCATTTGCACCTGTGCCCTCACATCATCCCGTGCCCCTAATTGCAACTTAATGTAATTAGGTTTTCCGACAAATGCAATTTATTGCAATCAACTGCACAGATTGCAGCTGCTGCTCATGAGTGGGCAAATTTCGTTAGATGATGCCTAACCAAGTGAGTTCCCTTGCAGATAATAACCATCAATTTGAGTGTGCAGACTGCATCGGCTGTTAATTATTCCGGCGATAATGAATTCACACTGAAAACTAGCAAACTGCTCCCCCGATATCAACACCTGGACTGGCCAAAGTTGTCTCACCTGCGGAAAGGTGAACTTTTCATTCTCACTCGGCACTTGGCTGCCTGGACTGATGGACAGACAGGTGGTTTATTGCCCAATCACCTGGCGGAGTAATGGCCTGGCTCGATTTCACTTTCAGTGCTCATGTGGCTAGGTGGCCTCACAGTAAATGGAAGAATATCAGCATGGATTTATGACGTTTTTATGCCAGAAGAAGCACCCCTCCAAAACACTCAAAGCGAGGTTCATTACTTTAACCTTGAATGCAAACTTAGAGGAAATCTAATATACATATGTGAGGTTCGCCTCAGGCCTGGCATGGTATATTTCATTCCTTGGCTTACCTTGGTCGAATTTTGAAATGCAAAAACCACCTGAACTCTCGTCGGCAGGCAACCATGCAAATTCACAACTATTTACATTGTGCTAGGGATAATTTTTAATGAAAAACCCAGCAGCATGGAAGATTTTGTTGTTTTCAACAGCAGCAAAAGCAGCAGATGCAGCTGCAGCAACCAAACGCATATGAATTTGCATCTAGTTTGGGCAAAAAACAAAGAGTACGTATACGCCGCGTGGAACACACTGTTTGCACTGGATAACGCGATGTGAAGCAGCTAATGGCTGTGCCCCAAATAAGCCGAAAGCGTGCTGATAATGACATAATTGGATGGGGAATTTACCCCGCAGGTAGAGTAAATTAGAAAATTTAAATATCAATTTTTTAGAACCCGGTGCTGTCGCCAATTCGCCCCCCTGAGAACTCTATTTTCAACATGTCCCATGATTTTGGGGATCTCTAAGCCCCCAATGCCAAACTTTCGCACACGCAGGCCGCCTTGAAAATGTTTTTCTATACAGAAATTTAATTAAATCTACTAGGCCCACGCCGAAGACAACTGCCAACAGCTGGGGAAAACATAAAAGAATTGCAAAGCCAGGCCAAAAGTTTCCGCTTTACATTTTAAAGCAAGAACGAAGGAGCCAAACTTGAATTAATTCCTCTGTTTTCCACAAGTAAAAGCGTTCCTGTTGTTGACATTTTTTGTTTTTATCTTCCCGGTTGCGGACCACGGACCACCGAAACATGTCATCAACAACTCAAAGGGCAGAGGACCTTAAAAACTTTTTGGGAACGTGTTTGCCCCGGCAACTCAGAATGATAACTACAAGGTTGCCAGCACAGCCAACGCCGCAAAAAAAGGGGAGACAAAATAAGAAATTGGTGTTCCCTCTTCAGTTTTTTGCTCCCCTGGAAATCAATTTATGTTTTTTTACCCCCCGATTATTGCGAATTTGTTCAGCTGGCTTTTGTGGTGAAGGTAAAATGGATTCATGGCTCGGAAAAAAAACAAGGATTGGGAGGCATATGTGATGTAAAGCATCTTATTGATTAGTTTCTTAAAGGATGAGATCGGGCCTAGAGCCGAAGCCTATTTCTGCATGCATTCCTCTGCCCGGAGGCGCTTAAAATGTCATCAAAAGCACATTTGCCTGTTGCCGGTGCACTGGGACACTTCTGCACTCAAGGACGATCTGGGTTAGCATGTGACTGGGAACAACAACCGAGCACTGTGGCTTAAGGACTCAACTGGCCCCCAGGGATTTGGATGGCCAGTGGGTCGAAGACGGGCCAGTAGATGTGCCTGGCCAGCCACAGAATTCTAAACTTTCCTATCTATGGAAACAGACGAACAAATTGTGCGAGGGCTGCCTTTATAAATATTTATTAGCCGCATTCCGATGAGTCCGCAGTTGATTAAAATGCCTCAGCTACCGCAGGGAGATCAAAAGTTCTTCCTACATATCGCTAAAAAGCCCGCGAAATGTTGCAAACTCTCGTGAGGCCTTGTGAGTTGGGGTTTTTTCAGTGGTGGACTACTTCCGCTTGATCGCACCAGACATCCAAGTTAACCGCTTTTGTTACGGATGATGGACACATGTGTTAACCCACAGCCATCAGCTGTCACTCAGTGAGAAGTGCGTGGCACACTGTTCAAAAAGGGCATTCCAAAGTTTGGAATCCAAACCCAACATCCCAATGTTCGAACCCAAATCTATTCATTCTTTCGTTCCATAAAAAGGTTACCTTTCTAAGCATATTTAAGGTTAAGGTTCTTTTTTTTAATATTTTAGAATGTTTTCCTAAAATTCCAAGTCAATGCATACGAAATTAAATTATAGTTCTTGACTATATGATGTTTTTTCTGTAAAAAATGCATTCTTCTTCTTCTTTTTTGCCAATCAGTTAACATTTTAAAATCGATCCATCAAACAAGAGTCCTTAAAAAATTTCTTGTGTTTTTCTTTGAACACGACAAAAAGTATTTATTAACATAGTTGAAAAAAATTAGCATTCGACTTGTTATTTTTAGTATTCCGAAAGTATTTTGTATGGTTTTTTGCCACAAAAACTTTTACCATCGTTGCTTTTTAGAGATAAAATCATTAATTAAATAAATTAAAATCGTTAGTTGTGACCCAGTACCACATTAAGCAATCACATGCTGAAACATTGTTATAGCCATAATGCTATAAGCTCCACTCAGGCAAAACTTCTTAAATGACTTTAAATTCTTTGGTTAGCCACACTTTGCCCACAACTAATGAGTTTCGGTTCAACTTGATTAGTTTGCCATTTGCTTATGTAAATTCCGCAAAATGGAATTTATGCTGCGTTACGCTTGTGTTGTGCTTAAATTTGGCAACTTTATTGGGGTTGAGCCCAAGGACCTTTCAGCGCTATAAAGTATTACATTTAATGTGTGATTAACTTTCGGCATGTGGGTGCTGTTCGTGCTGTGAGCTGTGGCTTTGCGGTGCTTAAATCATAAAATAAACTTTTATGTTTGCATGCCAATCGTCGCGTCATTTGCCATCTGGCGCCAAAAGCCAAACGCATGCCAGGGAATTAGCCCTGTTTTCAGCAACTCGTGAATTTATTGCAACGGATTTGAACTGCTAATGGGCCCGAAAACGGCCTTAGCGATAAACAAATGATTTTATGACACTGATGCTGGCCAGAACCGGAGTTCCAGCCACATAATCTCACCCCTTCATCTCGCATGCGCCTTATAGAGGCTGTTGTAGTGGGCTGCAGGACCAGCTTAACGATTACAAAGTGGCGCCGCAGAATCTAGGCCAACAGGCGTTGCCGTTAAACTGTTGATTACTGCGATGATGGCGGCTCGGGATCGCATTCCAGCCTCCTAGCCCGCAAAACCCTACACCTCTCCACACTTTCCCCGCGGTGGACCCCATATTAATCTCCGCAGACACGAAGCGATGCCATAAATTCAATTTTGGCCGAGAAGCGCGTCAGTTTAACCCTTGGACATGCAGGTGAACTCTAGGGTGGACCACTTACATTTTAAATATTCGCTTTTGTTGGGCGTATTTTATTATTTTAAGTAAACAGCGAGTTACCTTTAGATTTAGCATTTTAAAACAAATTTATTCTGACGAAACCAAAAAAAAGTAAAAGTTTGTGTGTCAAAGAGAAAAATTATTTATGATTTCTATAGAAAATGGGAATTTTAAGATCGAAAAACCAAATCACAATATT